GAGAGAGAGAGAGAGAGAGAGAGAGAGAGAGAGAGCGAAGCAATTATAATGCTAGAAAGGAAGGATTTGCTCTTGAAGCTAGGTAAATGTCGAGGACCTCAAAATACTTTCTGTTCGTAATCTCCTTGGTGAAAGTGTAACTCGAGATGAATTATACTGAGAATCAGGCGTCAAGCCATGGCAGTTACCCCCCCCCCTATCAAATGTTATTGCATTTCATTTTGTTAAGCACCCCACCCCCCCATTTTTGCCCTTAAAAAGAAGAAAATAAGACCCTGCTACGCAACTGTCTCAGAATAATTAAAATATTGATGATAATGATAAAAACAACAACAGAAAACGAGTGGTAACGTCCTTGTATCATTTTTGTTTTGTTTTGACGTCAGTTACTCTGCCAGTGGTTAGTTTGGCGGGTTTTCTGGTATGGTTTTTCTTTCTTACCAAATATATGCCGTTCTTATCTCTTCTTCTTTTTGTGTTTGTTGCTCACTTGTAGCTCCTTTGTGTAACCGTCGCCGCTTGTATTATGACCTTATAGTAATTTGTGGTCCGAGGGCGATAAGACTTACTTAAACTAAAACCACGGAAAAAAGATGAAAATAATCCCAAAACGTCAGTAACGGTATGTGACTGTGGCGTCGCTGTGTGAAAAAGCTTGCTGCTCGCCCGTGAAGTTATCCTCGCCCAACCGATATCTATATGTGGTGTACAGGTTAGGTGTTCTGCTGTTGCACGCCGAAGACATGAGTTCAATTTCCCGTTTTGGGAGGCTTTTTTTTTTTAACGGAGTATGTTCTTCTTTCTGCATTATTAAATTGGTCGCTTTTAAGGACAAGCAGGCTAACCCATTTTTCGGGGGTTTCCAGAAATCTTGACCACCACCAAAAGTGAGTATTGGCCTTCCTACAGGAGAAGTTTGGTTTCATAGGTGTGTATATTTGTTCGGTTATAGAGAAAACTCTCTTTGTCTTTTAAAGAAACTGATCAAGGGGCGAATTCTTTACCTTCGATTTTCTCAAAACAGCATTTTTCGGGATAGCCCCCTTGTGCTTAAAAGTGATCAATTGT